AAAAAAAAAAAAAAAAAAGATGAGGGGATGGCTGATGGGTGGATGATGGATACGTGGAAGGAAGGACGAGAGCATGGGAGCATGGATGGATGGGAGGAGGGGTGGATGGCTAAGGGAGTGGATACTGGACAGATGGAGGGATGCCTGGGAGGATGGCTGGATGGGAAGATAATGGATATAGAGTCACATGAGAGGAAGGGCGATTGGACGGATGGGTGATGTGGTCGGATGGGTGGATGGATGCAAAGATGAGAGAATGAATGGAAGGAAAACTGGATGGATGGCGGGTGGTTGATAGGAAAGATGACTGCATGGGAAGGTGGATAGATATGAGGAAGGACAGGAGGAATAAATAAAGGGAGGGGCTCTGGAACGCCTTCGTGGCAGGTATGGCATCCATGCCCCGCCCACAACCAATCTCGTGCCTCCTCACCCTCCAGGCCATCGGCTGGAGCATCACACTGCTGCTGATCGTAGGGGCCTTCCTGGCCCGCTGCCTGAGGCCCTGCTTCGACCAGACGGTCTTCCTGCAGCGCAGGTACTGGAGCAACTACGTGGACCTGGAGCAGAAGCTCTTCGACGAGACGTGCTGTGAGCATGCGCGGGACTTCGCGCACCGCTGCGTGCTGTACTTCTTCGCCAGCATGCGGAGCGAGCTGCGGGCGCGCGGGCTGCGCCGGGACGCTGCGGGCGGGGACCCCGCGCCCCTCGAGCCCCCCGAGCCCCCCGAGCCCCCGGAGGGCCTAGACAGTGGGAGCGGGAAGGCCCACCTGCGCGCCGTGTCCAGCCGGGAGCAGGTGGACCGCCTCCTGAGCACCTGGTACTCCAGCAAACCGCCGCTGGACCTGGCGCTCTGGGGGGGCGGCCTCAGCCACCGCGCCCCCGCCGTGGCCCCTGGCACCAGGCTGTCCCAGCACACCGACGTGTAGGGACCCCGCCCCTCTAACAAGAGTCCGAGGGGTTTCCAGGCTGTGGGGACCCCAAGGCAGGCGGCCTAAGCCTTGCGTACCTCCTTCCTAAAATAGCCCAGTCTCTACCTAGGCCCGGGCGTGGCCTCAGGTGTGCTTCACAAACTAGTGTGGACCCGGTTCCGATGCAGCGCATCCAGGACCGGGGCTGCGATTCTGCATTTTTTTTTTTTTTTTTTTTTTTTGAGACAGAGTCTTGCTCTGTTGCCCGGACTAGAGTGCCATGGCGTCAGCCTAGCTCACAGCAACCTCAAACTCCTGGGCTCAATCGATGCTTCTGCCTCAGCCTCCCAGGTAGCTGGGACTACAGGCATGTGCCACCATGTCCGGCTAATTTTTCTATTTTTAGTAGAGACGGGGGTCTCACTCTTGCTCAGGCTAGTCTTGAACTCCTGACCTTGAGCGATCCTCCAGCCTCAGCCTCCCAGAGTGCTAGGATTACAGGCGTGAGCCACCGCGCCCGGCCGATTCTGCATTGTTAACAAAGCTCGCAGTGATACCGACTGGATTTTGGTCCGCAGGCCACACTCTCTGTAGGAGAGTCTAAACAGATCTGTGACGGGTTCTGGGCCCTAGATGTCAATTCTAAATAATAATAGCAGCGTATGCTTATAGTGTGCTTACTGTGGTGTCGGGCATTGTTCCAACTTCCCTACGTATATTATCTCGTTATTGAAGTAGGTATGATGATCAGCCTCATTTTTTTAGAAGAAAAAACTGAGTTTAAGTTGTCCAAGGTGCCCCGTGTCATTTAATCCCAGGAGGCCTGGCTCTCACTCTGAGCTACCACATCAATCTGCTGTCTAGATAATTTTGTTTGTGTATTTGTTTTTAATGTTCTTGGGTTTCCTGCAGCGTCTACCGAAGTTCCTGTAATAAATTCTAGCAAGCTCTGCTGGTTGACTTCCTCTCAAAAGCACTAGTTAGCGCCTTTTGCTGGCTACTACAGAGGAATGGTTCTATATTTTCCTACTGAAGGGACTTTTCTGTGTTGAAATGTCCAGGGGCCAACCCTCCCAGCTCCCACCTTTCCGAGTCCCACCAATTCTGTTTCTAGCAGCCTCTGCCTGGGCCCGCCTCCTTCAAGATGCAGCTCCTTCCTTGGCCAGCCTTCTGTCCCTCCCCTTCCCACTCACCACCAGCCTTGTCCCTGCAGCCTGCAGGCCCCACTGCCTGCAGCCTGACCCCAGAGCTCAGCGGGCTCCCTTCCTAAGACTGCCCCTCCCCCAGACATTCCCCGGGGCCTCGTTTGCTGCCCTTAGGAAGAAGTTGGCACCCTGACCAGGGTTTCCTCAGGGCCAAGTTTGGGTATGGGGTCTAGCTCGGGGACAAAAACCCCTGAAATGCCAGTGTTAGATCTGCTGGAAAAACTGCCGCTCAATCTCTGGCAGCCCAAACAGGAAGGGTTTGGGGAAGATCTACCCTTTGCTCTGCTCTGGGCCTTGGCCCCTCCCTGATGACTCACGAACACCCCACCACCCTCACACATTCTCACACTCTGCTATCGCCTCCATCAGCACAGCCGGTGGCCACAGACAGCAGACCTGGGTTCCCCCTGTGCTTTTCTACTTTCTCAGCACCTTGGGGCACTGCAGGGGCCCCTGGGTACCTCCACCCCCTGGAGCCCAGGCCCCTCTATCAGAGGATCTCTGCACTCCTGAGCTCTTGCCAGGGGACCTTGTGAGACTAGAAAATCCCTGCAGCTCAGCCTCCCCCCACCTACTGTGGTCAGGCCATGCAAATGTCTGCAGTGGCACTGGGGTGGGGCACGATTTAGGCAAAGCAGTTAGCAGTGATAGGGTCGGAAGAGCGGGGAGGGAGACCTTGGAGATGGCCCAGGCTGCACGGGTGAGCTCCCAGCCTGGGGAAGGAGGCTCAGGGATGCGGCTTTGGGCTCCAAGAAAACAGCATCTTGATCAGTAAAAAATCACAAACTGCATTCAATACTCTTGCCTTCTTATACTGAGCACTTACAGAGCACCGACTGCGTAGAAAGCACTGTGCCAGGGGATGGGGGAGGGAGAACACACAGATGGCCTGCCTCTGCCCTCAAGGAGCTCACTGTCTGTTAAGGGGACAGAGATGGGTACAGAAATAAGGATAATCCAAAGCAAAAGGTATAAGTGATATGACAGAGGCAAACCGTGTGCCATGGGACTTAGCAGGAAGAATAAGGGCCCACACTGGGGGATCAGGGTGGGCTTCGTGGTGAAGGTGCCATTTGAATGGGTCTTGAAGGATGGGGAGGGTTTTGACATATGGAAAGAGAGATGGAGGGAGGGTGCAGAACACCTCAAAGGAGGAAACAACAAGAACGAGGCCATAGAGTTGGGCCAAGGGCAGAGCGTGTTTCATTTACTCATTCAGCAGATACTTATCGAATGCTTAGAGAGGCCAGAGAGCAAGACAGACAGAGTCCTATCTTGACAGAGCTTCCAGTCTGGAAGGGGAGATGGGGACATGATAACTGAACAACCAACCAAATGGAGGGGTGCGAAGTCCAGCCTGGCAAAAGTAAAAGACCCTGGCCGGAGGGTCTTGGTGGGGGTCCCACCAAGCCACGCTCCCTGAGCCCTCTACCCAGAAACACATTCTCTGGATCTTCTGTCCTTAAAAGCCTTCGAATGCACCTTTCTCCCTCTTCAGTTTCCAGCTGATGTGATTTCAAACCCCCAAATCTCTCCACCATCATCCATCCACACTGCCCTCTGTTCACATCCCTGCAAGAGCACACCCCACCCCTCCTGGGGGTGAGGAACACAGGTGGGAGGCTTCCGCCTGGCTCCTAAAGACCCTCCTGTTAGTGACAGAAAAACAAGTGAGAGGAAATGGAAATCAGAAAGGAGAAAGCCGGTATAGAAAAAGAATACGGAGGAAATGGTTGTTTCAGTCTTAAAGAATGGGGTAATTAGGCCATGGAACACTGACCACCAGCCAGAGAATGGAAATGGAACTTTCCCCACAGTACATATAACGTAACCTTTAAGTCACCTCCAAACATAGAAAGGAATTCAGTCCTAATTATAACTGACCTTTACCTAAACATAAAGCATATAAAAAGAAAAACATAGAAGTAGACAGGGTCTCCTCCACACCCAGAGACAGACCCATTTCCCCTTAGGAAATGTACTTTGTCTTTGCACCTTTAACTTTACTCGCAATGAATTCTTCACGCATACTTGCTGAGTGTCTGTCATCTCTCTCTGTCATGCGGCCAGGCCTTCGATTTCTCCAAGCCAGGAGCCCAAGAACTGGGGAAACACTTCAAAGTCCAGCCATGGACTGAACTGTGACACTCCCCTCCCAGAAGAGCAGCTGTTCTGGGACCCAAGCTCATTCCCAAGCCTCTGCTGAGTCTGGGTTGCAGCCCTCCTGACCCTGTCCTATATGTGCTGCCTCTTCTGGGAGACACAGTGGCCAGCTGGACAAGGCACGAATGTACTAGAAGTGTGGGCTTCGGCTGTACAAGTCCCCCCTCTTGTGCATCCTGGGCAGCTGCAGCCCCCATCTCTGCCAGGTCTGCATGAGGAAGGGAAGATGGCAGCCAAAGGGTTCGGCTCAGGCATGTCTTTATCCTACTGGCAGTTGGGTGTGAGAGCGAAGTGCTCGGTGGCAAGGTTAGGAAGAGGGATGATATTTGGGATTTGCCCATATGGAGGGGATGCCTGAAGCTGCAGGAATGAATAGGGCCATTAAGAGAGAAGGGCTAGGCTGAGCGCAGTGGCTCATGCCTGTAATCCCGGCACTCTGGGAGGCCGGGGCAGGAGGATTGCTTGAGGCCAGGAGTTTGAGACCAGCCTGAGCCAAAACAAGATCCCAGTCTCTACAAAAAAAAGAAAAAAAAACAAAAAGAAAAATTAGCTGGGTGTGGTGGCACGCGCCTGTAGTCCCAGCTACTTGGGAGGCAGAGGCAGGAGGATCGCTTGAGCCCAGGAGTTGGAGGCTGCAGTCAGCTATGACGACGCCACTGCAGTCTAGCTGGGGGAACAGAGTGAGACTCTGACTCAAAAAAAAAACCCAAAATACAAGGTAGGTCGCATGATTTCTTTATTGCCAGTTTTTACACAGAAAGGTGGGCTGGGGGGAGTAAGAGCAATATTTTTAGGTTTTATGGCTGTCTTTGGGGAAAAGGCGTTCTGGTTTCTATGATCCGCCTTGGGGAGGCAGCCTCAGGGGAGATTGAGAGGCCGGAGACAAGAGGGCAGGAGAAGCTCGGAGAGTCTTTTGCCTCTGAGGCTGCTTCCAAGGCCTTCATTTTGGGGTATTGTTTTCTGAGCCCCAACAGAATCACTGAACTGAGATGTTAAGGATGCAGGACTTTCTGTGGTGAAGAACGGGGTAAAGTGATCCAGGAACATGCAGAGCACGTGCAGGGGTCTTGCGGTGGGAAGGGCTGTCCTGTGCCAGGAACTGCAAGCCGGCTGCTCAGCCGCTGCCTGGGCAGCGGAAGGTGTGGCCCGGCGCCAGCTCTCGCAGGGGCATACAGGCCCTATGCGACTGTGGACTTCAGCCACTGAAGGGCATTAAGTAAGTAGTAATTTAATCGGATGTTCACTCTTTAAAGATTCCACAGGCGCCTGTGTGCGCTGCAGAAGGCAGGCGAGAGCCGGGGGGCTTGGATTCGAGGGGAGATGAGGGAGGTGGTAGATTGAGGTGTGTGTGAGGTAGAACAGGCCACGGGTGTCTTGCTTCAAATGTAACACATAGACACTATATTAGGCTAGACGGGGAATGCAAAAATAAAAGGCAGCAAAAATAAAACCAAAATGTCAGTGTCTTAACATAACAAAGATATATCTCTCACTCAGGCAAAATCTGAGGTAGATGAACAGGGGAGGGAGGCTGGGCAGGAGGCTGTGCCCCACATAGTCACTTGGGGACCCAGCTGACAGGCACCCCCATCTGTGACGCCACCAGCAAGACACATGGTGTTCACCAGAAACAGGTCCCGAGACAAGGAG